ACAAAATGATCACTAAACCATTCAGAGATCACTTTCTGTTTTCTGGTTAAACAAAGAACAAAAAGAAGTGAGGAGCCATTTGTTACCCATTAGAGTTGTACTACACTGTGTATAGTGACATACACGCATACAAAAAATTCAGATTTAGTAACAGCTATGACTTTTTTTTTTTTTTTAATCTGATCTTTATTTGTGCTTTTGAGGAACTGTCTTTGGAATTATTACTTAGGGAATGGAAATTCAATATAACTCAGTATCTGTCTGTTACCAGTGACCGGTATTTTAAAAATAACAGACTGAAATGTACTGCTTTCAGACAATGAATTAATTATCTCAACTACTGCTAGTGAATACAAATAAAATTAGCAATAAAACAAAGATATTTGCAATAAACTCCCTACTTAATGAAAAACAAGAGTGGAGTAACTTTGCTCCATTACAGGGAGAAAGTAAATTGTATTGTTAAGAAAGCGTTTGTATTTTATGTGAGATCTACCCCAAGTGTATGTATAAACCAGCAAATTTATATAGTTTTGTACCCATAGTACAGCTCTGGGATGCCCACAGCTCTTGAATCACTGCAGAGTTCCACTGTCATCAAACAGACACAGGGCTGCACTTGGTCTGTGCTCTCCCTACAGTCGTTTGAAAATAGTAACAGCTTTGCCACAGAAATCAACAGAGTATAAAGCAAGATTATATTACATTTCAAGTAAAAAATTACTTATTTTTATTTCAATGATGGATAGATCTTGTACTTTCTGCTTTTTTGTTCACTAGGGTAACAGCGGATTTGACTCCATTGGAGTCTGGATTTACACTGGTAAATGTTTGAGAAGAGTTTGTCCCTGAGCAACAATATTCTTCTTTTTGTTTTCCAACACAGCATCAACCATAATACATAAGGATGAGTGAATTGAAATTGGAAATAAAAACTAATAATGACAAAACATATTAACAGAAAACTCTCAAGTTCCTCTGCAATCAGGAAAGCAGTGCACACTTATTATCAAAACATGAATAATTAATTCTCGATTCTCGAGTTATTCTTTAGAAAGAAATTATATGGAATATTATATGTAGGCCTTTCTCAGCTAAAGTTGTGGGTTTGTTCCTGATGTTATACTTCAACTAGAAGTGAAAAAAATCTGTATCAAGTCCCGATTTTCCACTCCATATCCCATTCTGATTCACTTTCACTGCCATTATAATGCATGTTAAACCCTGCACAACAGGGAATGTTTAATCTAAATGTAATTCTGTTCCTGCTCTTCTCCCTTGCCATGAAGATTTTTATGAGGCTTTGTAAACCATTTTAACTACAAAATATAAATTTGGAAGTTAAACTACCTAAAGGTGTCTTTTCAACTTTCAGTTATAAAACTAACCTAACCAAATGAAATGGTAGATGGATTGGTATTTTTGCTTCTTCTAAGGACAAATTAACTTTTCTTTCCCCTGAAAAACTGTTATTGAAAATGACTAATAAGAAAAGAACAAAAGAGAGCAAAGCAAATGCCCCTAACATTATGTAATTGTTCCTCTAAGCACTTCTGGTTTGAAGAACTGAGAATCCAACTGAAAACTAAATTCTGCTTATGGTAATAATGGAAAAAAACCCACTGAATCTGGAGGGGTTATTTGCAACAGGGGAAAGGAAGATTTTGTTGGACAACAGAAGATGAGAAAAACTTTCTAAAATAGACGAAATTGTTGATGTGGTTAGAAAACATCACTGCATAACTGCTTTACAGATTCTCTCTCATCCATATACAAATAATCCAAAAGAGAATATCACAGGCACTTAACAAAGTCTAGTTTCAGAAATACAATAGTACCAAACAATTTTATTAATATTTCATACAAATTTTGAAGTCAACACTGACTAGTATTTTGATATTGATGAAGGCAAACAAAATTAATAAACAATAGGTTTCTGTGGTTTACATTGGACTGGATGTCGTAAGTAACTGCCTAAATTATAGACTAACCTAAAATAGTAATGATCAAAACAGGGTAAAGCCAATACATTTTGTTTTCTTTACTTTATTTCAAAATAGAGTGATTATAAATACATTCTTGTTATATTTCCTTCCTAACTCTTTGGATGCAACCAAAAAAAAAGAAGTCTCACTGTGCTCATTTCATACAATATTGACATACAAATCATGCAAAAGATATTATAGATATTATACCACCATCAAGTTCTGGATGTTTTTTCTTGATTCTGAAACATTTGTTAACATTATTCACAAGGCCATGCCTTTATAATTTATATCATCATTATGGCTTTAAAAAAAAAAGCATTTAAAAATATATTTATACTAGATTGTTGCATTATTGTCAATCTTGAACACTAAATGCAAAACATAAATCACCTGTTCTTGTGTTCTTGCACCGCGGTATTTGCTTTCTGATAAAATTGCACAATTTTTTTTTCTTTTTCAAGGAAACGATTACACTTTATTGATTTCATTTAAAAATGGAAACTTCTTTATAATACAATGGAGACAACAGATTATGCCAACACCTTCACTGATTTAGTTTATGTCTATGGGTCTTAACAGCCATTTTACAAGCATGGCCACTCAAACCAATATAAAGAACAGACAGACCCATTAAGCCACACCCAAGAGTCACCTTCTCAGAAAGACTGACCAGAGATTTGAATGGACATCACACTAAAACTGCTGTGCAGACACATACAACGTTTCAAAACATGGAGAAAATAAACTGACACTAAGGTTGCCATTCAAAGTAACAATTTCACAGAAAAATAGTGTTTTGCCAGCTCCTGCATTCTTCACTCACACTATTATGCCTACATATTGCACCATACATTGTAAAACACTTAGGGACAATTTCTACAGGAAGGTCCAGATTGTGCAACCTTTACTGATGCTGGTGAACCTACACTCAACTGCATAACCCCAGATGAGTCTCTGGGCTCTATGGATTATATACAATGGTTCTGAGCTGGCTTGTTTTGCAGTCAATGACAAAACTCTAGCTAAGCCCTACTATTGGGCAGGTATCTAATTATTATCTCATGAATAGTACCTGTGCACATGATTTAGGTTGAAGTGAAATGCTTTACTGGAATTGGGGCCTCAGTGATCAGAAAACTCTGACCCAGTGTAATGGTACAGCATAACGGTTCAGTTCTTTTGATCAGCAAACAGAAGACACCACTCCAAAAACAAAAAAAACTCAAATAAATTTAAAAAAACCAAACCAAACCAAAAACCTAGAAAGAACACCCCCAGAAAACCTCACAACACAAAATGAACCAAAAAAACCCTCCTTTTTTTTTAGCTTAGGGAGGTATGATCATTCATCTCTGTTCTTTTGACTCAGGGCAGCACAAGTCATAAGCACATCAGTTTTACCATCACTTAGAAGCACTTCCTTACTTGCAATTTTTAATATTTTCAGCACATTGCTCTCAGGAGGATCATACAGGACATGCCAGTGACAACGCACTGAGTGTGTCAGACACCTTCTGCTTTGGCAAACCCCAGTGAACTTGGACCCACCCTCGAGGCCACACAGCTCTGTGCAGAGCAGACCAGGGACCTGTCACCCTCAGCCTAGTGAAGGAGCCAGCAGAGTCCACCTGGTCAGTGCATCATGGACACTCCTTAATCCACAGACAACAAATAAACTCACACTTTCTCATCCAAACCTTAGCCATGCATTGCATCATTGGTCAAACAGGAGCTTTTTATGCTAGAACTGCATGTGCACGCAGTATCCATGTCCTCAAAATCCCCATGACATTCTGAATTAAGTAAATTATTGTGCATGGATAGATGCAGCTTTTTGAAAGAAACTCAGCCATTAATTCATCTCTCACAATTTTATTATCTGAAGTCATGTATATACTATGCAGTATGGAGAAAAATAATAAAACCACCCTCTTTCTAAGCCAAAAGAGCATAAACAAATGTCTGAAAGTAGAGAAATGTTTTGTTTGTTTTCTCTTAAATAAAGAAGCAGTGGGTTTTTTTTATTTATTTTTGGTCTATTTTGATAAAAATATACTGCAGGCTGTTTGCCAAGTATCATTCCAGAATAAAAATTTCAACTCAGTGTCACAAAGCCCTGAAATTAGAGGTTTATATTGGAAATAGCTGACACAGCCTTCTCCAAAGTATTATTATTGAGTCTTGCTCCAATTTCTGCTAGCTTCAAATTCATGAAAAATGCTCATGTTTATATCCTACTATCTTAATTGACTAATGTATTGATTATGAAAGGTAAGGAGGGGTAAAGGTTCTGAAAGCAAAGGAGATAAAAAGGTTCTTATCCAAAGCTCATCGAGTCAAAGAAATGTTGTTAATCTCATCGCATAGATTTGCTCTAGGATGCTTCACCAATATATCTCCATTCTTATGTCAAAGTACCATCTATCAGTGAGATACAATGGGGATTTTCCATTCTCCTACCTTTTTTTCCTGGCTATTCAGATTCAGCTTTCACAAAGGCAAGCTTTTACTCTCTAGTTATGAGCTACGCAGTCCTCTGAACTGAGACCACTATATCCATTTTGCACTGTGGTTTTGAACAGGATTTGCCATATTGTTCACTGTTCTGATCAGGTTTTGCTGACTAAAAGCAGCCAGAGAGATAAGAACAGAAAACTTCTGCACGTACAATAAAAATATTCCCCTTAGCACAAATTCCTGTAAATGCTTGTGAAAAGTATTCAGATATTAAGCTGTAGAGACCTGAAAAGCAAGAAAACTGATGGCAAGTAACAACCTGGGACACAATACTAAAAAACTAATCAATCTATTTTAAAATGCACCATTGGTAACAGATCTGAAATAAGGTAATATGCTAATCTCACGAGAATAGTACAGAACAATTTTATTATTATTATCATTATCATTATCATTATTATTATATCTGATCACTTAATTCTGGATGATGCTATACATTACATCCCCGGTTGCTGTTTGGTATATTGTTCTGGTTTTATTTATACTGAATGATTAATGCATTGTGATCAGGAAAACAAGTCAAGCATATTAAATACATATTAAGGAGTACATATTTTTTCCTATGTAGTATACAAAGTATTTCATAAATATGAATTATATTACAAAAATAATTTCTGCTACGCTCACACAGTAAGCACTTTGACAATTTTGGACAACCTGTTTGGGTTGCAAGAGTTTCATGTAACTGAGAAGGAACTCTAGTTTTAATTGGAGATGAGTCTTAGAACAGATTCTGCATAAATATCAAATATTTTCTTCAGATGTCACGAATACTGCAGAAGTCAGGTTGAACTATTTCTTTCTTTCTTTGTTTTAAAATTTTCTGTATAGACATGTATGCTTCAAGTGGTCAGATTTATTTCATAGGTATGTAATGCATGGTATATTTTAAACACAATTTAACATTATAATTCCAGTGGTTTCAAGATGCAGCCCATAAATGTAACCAATTTACACATACTATTGAATGTTCTCTCTTTGCATGCTTGTTACTTTCCAGATAAGCTTTAAACAGTGCCATTAGAACACCACAAATCAAAGGATTACTCCAGTTCCACCAACTTAAATCCACGTGCAGGATGAAGGACCCAGCTGAAGTACAAATATCAGTACCAGGTTTCTTGTGTTTGTTCTAACAAATCACAAGGAGACGATGGTTTGCATTTAAGATACAAAACATATATGCCTCTTGAGGTTAAATTCAGTGTAACGTGTATAAAGCATCCCTTTGGCAATAGAGTTTGCAGTATCCCTACAGGATTCCACAGGGCATGAGCTTTATGGAGTAAAATCTATTAAGGAAATTCTCCTCTACTCGACAAATCATACGCAGCTACAGTTAATCAGACACCCTTGGATACACCTGCCTCTATGCCTATCAATATAATATAGTATTTGGAAGTTAAAAGTCAACAAAAGGCACTTTCATCATTAAATAAATGTCCTCTGTAGGCAATAAGATTGTATGACCTATATTTTATTCAAAGCTGTTTGTTCTTCAAGGACTTGTAGGTAGTCAGGTGAACCTTGAAGTTTAGCTTTTAGTTCAAAATATTCACTTTTTCTTTGTTCTACTACAATTTTACTATGATTACCACCTATTAGAGATTTCTTGGCTTTTTTGTCTTGCAGTTTCTCTGGGTAACGTATTTCAAAGCCACTGACCCCTATGCTGTTGTATTCCTTTTTACTTTCAAGAAAATTTTGAATAAATACATTGGAATCCCTTCCAGGGAATAACTCATCCAGTTCATCGATTGTGCTAAGTCTTTTTCTGGAATCCACATGCAATAAATCTTTCTCCTTGTCATTCATATTTCTCAGAATGACTTTTTGCCCTGGTGGGTCAGCAAACGTGAAGCCTGTTTCAGACTCTTTCAAGCCACAGGTATGACTTTTGCTCATCTGCTCAATGGTTTGAGGAATGAAGGCCTCTGCACCCAGTCCATCTTTTTTGTTTGACTTGTGATCATGCTTTCTCAGCTGCAGCTGCATAGAACTGCACTCTTGGTTTCCAATCCCTTCATGCTTTATGGTTGGTTTTTTGTTGCGCCGAAGCACAAAAACAAGAAGACAAAAAGCAACAAACACTGTTAAAATCAGCACAACCAATATGCTTAGGATTAGGATGGACAATGGAACTGGGCCACCAGGAGGACTCCGGACTGGTCCTGGGGGTGTTGTAAAAATAACAGCAGGCATGGGACTAGTGAACAGAGCAGATGGCTTGTTTAAAAGTTTAGGACAGAGAATCTCATTTTTCAGAGACTTAAGTTCTATGTTAGCAAACTGCACAGGTGTCTCACATTTCAATTCCTTCACCACAATACCGTCATTTAGCTTCTCAAGCCACAGTTTTAAAGCAACTAAATCACAAGTGCAGTCCCATGGATTACCTTCCAAATCTATTTGTGTAAGAGACTTTAGCTGATCAAGAACACCACTTACAGGCAAATACATGAAGTGATTGTTCCTCAGATTCAGTCTAGCAAGTGGTGCACCAGCAAAAATATACGCCGGCAAGCTTCGCAGAAGATTGTTGTTCAGGTAGAGCAACTGCAAATTTGGCATTAAGTCAAAGGTGCCTGCTAGGATTTCTTTGATAACATTGTATTCCAAATACAGATATTGCAAATTGTGGAGGCCAGCAAACATTTCTGGGCTCAGACGCTCTATCTGATTGCCATTGAGATACAATCTCCGTAAATTTGTAAGGTTGCGGAAAACATCTCCTTTGATCATTGAAATCCGATTGCTGCCTAAATGTAGCAAATCCAGCCCCTCAAACTCAGCAAAATCTGTAGTATCCACATCCTTAATATAATTGCCATTTACATGCAGTTTCTTGGCATTTAAAGGTTTTGGTACGAGTTCAGCCATCGATTCTATATTTCTTTCTTGGCAATTTACGCTTAATCCCAAGTCTGAAGGATGAGTTTTGCAAACACAAGGGACCGGACAAGGAGTTAAAGGAGGCACCCTGGTCTGGTAAGATATGATTTGACTGAGATTGCGAGTGGACAGTGCTTTGCCTGCTACTATCCCCGAGATCTTCGAAGGATTTGTAGTCTTTGGTGGCTTTGTGACTAATCTGTGCACTGATGTTTGAGTGGTGTGGCCGTTGGGCGTGCTGTAACCGGGCTCCAGCTGCGAGGGAGGCAGGATGCGCACGTCAAAATCACTCCCTGTCCCCATGGAGCACAGCTCCTGCTTATTGGTTTCTTTCAGCAGCCTTCCATACAAGTCACTGGGTGTTTCACAGATAGCCTCTCCAATGTAGATGTTATAGGGCATGTTCTCCAGCCACGCTTTCAAAGGCAACAAATCACACGTACAATTCCAGGGGTTGTCTTCCAGCTGCAATTCAACAATTCGCCCGATGTGTTCCAGAACTCCAATGTATGGAAGCTTCTGTATTCGATTCCCCCGTATATCCAGATGGGTTAGAGAAGCAAATCGAAAAATATTATCGGGAAGGAATGAAATCAGATTGTCATTAAGTATCAGGACTTTCAGCTTGTGAAGCTTATTGAAGGCTCCCCGTTCAATAAACTTGATTAAATTGTAGTCAGCTTGGAGATACTCCAAGTTCTCTATGCCAAGGAAAGTGTCAGCCCGGAGAATCTTTAATTCGTTGTTGTTCAAGTGCAACTGTTTTAATGCACTAAGACCCATAAAGGCCCCTCCCTCAATGTTCTGTAACTTATTATTACCCAGTTGCAAGGACACTGCATGTGTAAAATTAAGAAAGGAATTTGGATATAGAATAATTAGCAGGTTGTTTTGAAAGTTGAGGTGGTAAAAATTAGACCATGGTGGTTTAAGCTGATTTGGTCTGTAGACTGCAACCTTCTCACAGTTGACATAGAGTACATTCTCAACTGACACACAGGAGCAAACATTGCAAATTTCCACAGATATATCAGCATCTGTAGTTGTAGAAGAAACTGGAGATGACAGAACCAGAAAGAGCCACAGAATCATCTTCTTATGATCAGCAAACAACCTTAGGCTCCTGAACAAAGATAAAGAATCTGAAGAAGAAAGAAGGAAAGAAAAAGAAAATGTTTTTCAGTTGACATTGTTCCAAAACGTCACTTGGGTTAGAAATTGTATACCACTGAGCTACTGTACCTGCCAAGTATTATAGATAAACTACAAGAACTGAATTTAAAATAACATGAAAGACTTTAACAACCAAACAAATGCACAGGAGCTGGGATGATTTCAAACACGGAATGTAAATTCTGTAGAAAAACACAAATAACTCTCAGGTCTGTCAAATGTATTTCTCTCTCTTGTACATGCCAAGCATGCATAACTAATAAAGTAAAATAACCAAAAGAGATTCCAATTTTATGCATATTTACTCCCCTCAATTGTGCACTGCTCATATGCTGCTGTGCATTTCAGGGATATTAAACACAAATGCTGATGTTATGCATGCCCAAACATCTGGAATAGGATAGCACAATATAGAAAGGTTGGAGATGCTAACACAAAAGCAATGCCAATGCTCAGTATATGTACCTAAAGCAGCAACACATACAGATGTATCACTATGATAAAGATATTCACTCAAGGCATAGGCATGCACACACATTGTTTCTGTCACTTCTGATACCTAGTTTAAATAAGTAGGTGGTAAACTGTCTGCAGAAATACAACTATTCACAAAACAAGATCAGCTCTGGGTGACCAATGGAAGCACTCAGACATGGAAGAAGCATGCACAAGCATACAGCCCCATCCCCAGGAATAACAACACACTGACTTGCAGGGAAAAACAAAGTCACAATTTGCCAGTCTGACACTATTGAAATCTGAGAACTATTTTTCCCCCCCTTAAACATTATGTAATTTGCTCTTATTCCTGCATTGATAAGAACCCTTTGTATATAGTCCGGGCAGCTGAACTGCCATTTTTTACACAGAAGAACTCGAGCCACAGCATTTCCTCTGAGTTATAAGGTAGGATTTTTTCCCCCTTTTTTTTTAAACAAATCAGTCAATAATCAATACATTGTACACACACACACACATTCCATCTTCCCATTACCCCCATTTCCCAACTTGTCCCTTTCATTTCCTGCTGTAGATAGCCACTGAGTTGGCAGGAGAGAGCCAGAATGAAAAGTGGAGAAAGCAGGAGCCAGCTGGAGGGAGGAGAACCGGGCTGGAGGGAAACACAAGGGGAGGATGTGTCGGAGGGTCCTGGGAGGGAGGGGAGAGGAGAGATGAGGAATGACCGCAGGACAGAAGGACAAGAGGGAGAGGAAAAGCACGGAGGAGAGAATGAACGATGCGAGGAACGGATGGCCGAAGGGGTCAAGGAGGCCGCTTGCCGGGAGAAGGGGGAAGCGGAGCAGCGGCTGCCGATGCCCGCAGGCTGCCGACCCCGGCCGCGGCGAGCGCGCCCCCAGGGGCGGACCGGTGTCCCCGCGCCCCCTCCGCTCCGTCTCCCTCCCCCTGGCAGGCGCCGTCCTCCCGTATCCCTGCCTCGCCCACGCTGGAGTCCCCTCTTCTTCCTCAGCCCCGGGGCCCCGGCCGGTGCCGAGCGGGCAGGCTGCGGGCGCTGCGCGGGGCTGGCGGCGGGGCGGCGAGCCCGGCCAGCAGTGCCGGCACTACCGCAATTTTTTGCCGCATCCGGCTCGGCCGGTGCCGGCTCCGCTCTGCCGTGGGCGCCCCGTCGCCCTCTGGCTCCCGGCGGGGGAGGGCGGCAGGGGCACGGGCGCGCTCGCAGGGCGCGCACATCCCGGCCGGGAGCGGGCAGAGCGCGGCGGAGCAGCCCCGCATCCCCTCCGCCGTCCCTTCGCAACAAGGCACGACCGCGCTCCCCGCCGCTGAACGCACCAGCCCCCCCCGCCCCGGTACCTTTGCAAAGTCCAGCCCGCAGCAGATCCACACACCCCCTTCCCCAGCCCCACTGCGCAGATCCTGCCCCTCCGTCCCTCCCACACCTCCACCGGCTTCTCCGGGCCGCCCGGCCCCTCAGCTCGCCCGCTCTCCCGGGAAGGATGGGAGCTGCGCCTGGTGCCGCTGGCCAGGACTCCGGGAGGCGGCCGGCTGCGGGGAGAGGCGAGCGCGATGGCAGAGAGGCTCCGGCAGGAAGCCACTGTCGCCTCGTCGTGTGCACCCCCGCCTCCCCCCACCCCACCCCTCGCCGTCTTTTAAACAGCACCGGTAATTATTATAGCAATGAAAACAAAACCTTCGGAATAATTAAAAAGAAATTAAAACGCCAACGTACGGGCGGCCCCGCCGTGCCCCCACCCCCGCCCGCACTCACACGCCCGGCGGGCGCCCGCCGCCCTCGGTGATGCTCCCGGCTCTCCGAGGCCCGCCCGGCACCGTCCCTACCTCGGCGCCCGGGGTCGCCGCGGCTCCGCTCGGCTGCGCTCCGCCGCTCTCCCCGCTCTCCCTGGGCTCCGGCGGCTCCGCGCACGCAGCGGGCGGCGGGGGCAGCCGGGCGCGCTCCGGGGCGAGCACCCCCGGCCGCGCGGAGCGAGGGCAAGCCCGGCGCTGCGGAACCCCGCGGGCTCCGCCGCATGCAGCAGCCGCCCGGCTGAGCCCTGCCCCGCCGCCGCGGTCCCCCGCACACATGCGGGGAGAGGATCCCTCTGCACACGGGCGCCCGCTCCCATCGCACTGCTCTCGCCCACCCCCTGCACGCAGCGAGCCCCCTCCCCTCCGCCACACGCACACCCGCACACACACACCCGCACACACGCACACCCGCACAACACACACAGACAACACACACGCAACACACACACACACACACGCACGCACCGAGCGCCCGGGCGCTGCTCCGGCGGGGAGGGAGACGCCGCTCCGGGGGAGCAATCCCGGCGCATCGCCACGGCCGGAGCCTCTCCCGCAGCCCGGAGGCGCCGTGCCGCCGGTACCTTTCCCGGGGAGCCGTCGTGCTGCGCCCCCGCGGAGCCCAGGCGGGGCGTGCGGGGCGGGAGGAGCCCCCCGGGGCGGCGGGAGCGGCGGGGCCGCGCCGGGAGCCGCGGGGCTGCCATGGGCGGGCGAGGCAGCCACAAGTGCAGCCCGCGGCCGGGACGGGGCCAGCGCGGCCCCCGCGCCCGAGGAGCCGCAGGGCAGCGCGGCTGAGAGAGCCGGGCGGGGGAAGGAGAGAGAAGGCAAGAAAGGACTCCCCCCTCTCTTTTCTGGTGATCTCCCCTCCCGGCTTGAAACAAAAGTAGAGGTGGAAACTGAGTGGGGAGGATGGTAACATTTGCTGCATTTAATGTGAATTGCAATTATGGAGTGAAATCGCTGCGAGGAGACATACCCGACCCGTTCTTACGACAGCGCAGCTATTTGTCTATCTCATTCTTTGTGGTTAGGTGAAATTCCTTCTCTGCGTAGGTAACAGCTGCAGCCTGATGGAAAAGAAAATCCTCAAATGTTATGCACTGGTGCTAAACAGATTCTGCTAATTAACAACTCCTATTGACTCTACCTTTCATAGTACACTTTAAAATGGTAATGAATACCCTCAAACGAGGTGACATCGCATTCCGAAGCAGAAGAGTCAGTTAACCAAATGAAATCATGCAAGGGGAGTTCAACTGCTCGTCCTTTACCATGAATGCTAACGTGATCCAGTTAGAAAACTGTTTATGTGCTGTACACATACCGGCTGTGAGTGCTAGTTCTGGGCAATAAACGCCAGGGAATGGAAAACAGCAACTGCTTTCTTCATTTACTGAAATGAAATAAATAGCTTGCTCCAAAGGCTGACTGCATCTAATTGAAATAATTGCAGAATGTTATTTTGCATTATGCAGCTAGACTGATACCTGAAAACAAATGCAGCTGAGACATCAATAATTTGCATATCACAACAGAACTGAAAGCGATCTGTGATTAATATTCAGCCAATTAAAAACTGAAGTCTTTAAAATGTAAACTCTCTTAATTATTGAGCCATTAACAAAGTACTGTTCACATAAAAGGGGATGTGTGTATATAAAGGGCCCAGTTTAGAAAGATTTGCATATAGTTTAAGTTGAATTTTTCAAATACTTTTTAAATAAACTAATGAATTAGAGAGCAAAGGTCTAGAATAAAATTAATTTAGGAAGATAGCTGGTTTATAACTATTTTAGCATCAGGCACAGAAATGCAGGTGTAAAGATCAAGATGCCAGTTTTGTTTAATCAGCAACCGTATCTGGATGTTAAACTAATTCCTTGCTTATTTAGTAGGTGAAAGAGCATATTGGCAGTTTCAAAGAGATCACTGCTCCCAGCACATTCAAACAACTACTCAGAGACTGAATTAAACATCAAACAAGAAGCATAATAAAGTATTGTATTTTAACCAAGTAAACTGTGACATGAATAAGTATTCGAGAACTGAAATTACACTCTAAGTAAATAATTCTTGATGTTTCTGTTGTAAGTGGCTATTACCAATGGTGTATGTTTATGGTGTTGTAGAACTTATCTGAGGAGGAAACTTAGTTATGCAGCACAATGTCATTATTAGGGTTTCAGCATGCCATATATTTCTCTTTCTAATTTACAGTCACTGAAAATAACTTCTTCTCCAAATATTAAGTGATTTCTAAGCTACTTGCCCTAGCCTACATCATGTCAAACTCACTAATATTTAGGCTTACATGTCAGGACCACAATCCAAAACAAATTGCAGGGAATTTTAAAGCATAACATAAACACAAGTTAAGGTCAAGACTGGGATCCAAGATGGTGATGTGCTTCAGGAATAAAACACTTTAAAGGGCTGCATCCTGGAATCACTTGGTTGCACCCATTTTCTGAGATCCAGCTTGAGGTTCTATCGCTATCAGGAGACATTTTCTGTATAGGCTGATGGCAGATAGTAATTGGAAGACAGCAGAGCCAGACAGGGCAAGTTGGAGTACCTGGCCTGGTTCCCTGAAGTTTACAAGATTACTTCAGGCTACACACCATGCCCATTTAATGTCATCTCTAACCTTTTCTTAAATTTTCTACTGTGATGGAACCTCGTTCATCTCCTTTGATTTTTCCCCCGTCTGTTGTTTGCCACAGCAGCATGTATTTTTTTCCTTCTTCAGCTTAGCAAAAGGAGAGAAAAGCTAACAGGCAGACAGATTCATAACGGGATTTTCTGCAGAGAGAAGTAGCTGAAGAAAAGGTAGAAATGTGACATATACTACTTCCCACCCAAACAGACACATTCAGGGTAGCATTCAGTATCATATCAACAATCAGCTTGTTGATAATGCCTGAGTAGAAGGTCTTGGGAGAGAAAGGTACTTTTTTATTCCTGACTACTGGCATTCATCATTAAATCTGCTCAGAAATTACAGAAGCCTGTTTACATTTTGTTTCACATTTTTTTGTTTCACATTTTAAGCAGGTCTTGGGAGAGAAAGGTACTTTTTTATTCCTGACTACTGGCATTCATCATTAAATCTGCTCAGAAATTACAGAAGCCTGTTTACATTTTGTTTCACATTTTTGTGAGATCTTCTAAGGAATACTTTTCAACACACAGACATGCTTGGTCACCTACCTCTCCCAATTTAATTCTGGGCTGATGCAGGAACTTGAGCCTGAAACTGAGCTTTATGTGTGTTCAAAGTCTGTCAGGAGAAAAACCTTCCAGTAACAGAGTCATCAAAATGCAGAGGCCAGTTGAGATGCTGAATCTACTGCTCACAGCAGGAAACCTTGGAGAGCATTTTCCTCAAGCCGCTTGGCACACATGCAAATGGGGCTGCAGCTGAAGGCGAGGGCAGTTCTGTGAAATAACTTGCTTTGTTTTCTCATCCACAGTAATTTTCTGAGTGAGAAATGAACTGACAGGAAGCAGGAGCTAAACATCCTACTCATTCCTGAGCACTTACAAGTACAATTTCAGACCCAGTACCTGCAATCAGGCTGTATGTGTGCACATAAGTGGCAGAGAAGAGGTGTCTTCCATACATCTGCCATCATCCTACCCTTACGTTACCTATGGATTTGTGTGCATCCTAAACACTTTCTCCACAGGCACTGCCGTTCACTTTTCTGCTCTCTCTCTACTTTCTCTTTTGTCATCCTGAAAATCAAATAAGGATTAGTGCTCAGCACTGAGATCTAACCAGAGATGCCTATGACCCACACACCCCTGGCTCTTGGAATCAGAAGGCCAAGACAAGAAATTGCAATTGCTGTGAGCAGCAGAGGAACACTCTTTCCTTGGTCATGTGCCAACATCTCTACTGGCCAGCAGTGAGCAAGCCTTGTGTATCCAGATGGCAAAAACACACCTGGGAGAGAAGCAGTGTGCACACATATGTATTTGGGTTGTTCTGTTTGAAAAGATTATTGCCAGGAGTAGAAATTCTTAGAAAAGATTTCCAGAAGTTAATGTGAATCCATTTTGATCAGACTCTTAATTTTATGTAAACACTACATGCTACACCTTCCTTTTCCCAAAGAATGGTAAAAATAGCTCAAGAGTTAATATTTCGGCCCTTCACACAGTGTCCAGGTAAAGAATAAACTGTTTTGTTTGATCATGTGGGAAGCTGGCTAACAATTGTTTGAATAGGAAAGCAAAGGTTTGTATGGGCTCTGTCTGTTGCTGGGGTTTCTGTGGTTAAGCAATTTCAGTTTAACAGGTCTACAACAAGTTTCTGCTTTCATATAGATCAGTAACAACAGCCATACTCAGCAAACAACAGCAGAGTACAGAAATGACTGTGCAGTCTTCTAATAAGGCTTCAACCAATAGGTCATAGCCTTTTGAGGAGGAGAGAACCCCCCAAAATCAACCAATAACTCCACCCAATGTCCACATCTTGTCTATATTTTGCCAGACTGTCAGTTAAAAGCAGGGGAGGAAGAGCATCCTTGAAAACTCTGTATGTAATGGAGTGAGTCCCAGCATGTACATTTTAAAGACACAGTGGGATAGGAAACAGTGCTAGTCTGCTGCAGACCCAAGTCAGAAGCACTGTGAGAAAGCACTGTGCTAAATAAAGTGGAAGAAACTGTCAGATAAATGCCTCTGCCTGTCTCTATATTATTTCCACCTCACTTCCTCCATTTTATCCAGGACCCCTCCTCAATATGCAACAAGTAACCTGCATCCAGGGAACCTGAGGAGTCACTGCAATGCCTTCCACAGGGGTTGCTGGGGCATTTTTAATTCCATCATTTGCTATTCATTTGCAATGAGTCACTGTCTTGAATGCTTGATCAAGTGGTCACAGTGCTGGTAGTGGGTTTTCTCACCAGTTCTCTTTGTAAACTCAGCCCGTGGGGCTGTCCAGCTCCATAACCCTGTGCTTGCCAGTTTTCCATAACTGTGCTGTTGGAGCACAGTGGGCAGCATTTAATTTCACTGAGTTCCAAAATGTCCCGTGCCTTACTTTCTTTCTCATTTACCCAGGGATTCTTCACCCTCCAGCTCACTGTCAGAGGCTAAAACTAAGCTTGGCCTATTCTCTTGACTCCTGAAACAACCAAAAATGTCAAAACAGGAG